ATGCAGCTGTATTGCTAATGGCGATGAATCCAAACAGGATTTTTATCCTACATAAAACTATCAGGTATAGTGATGGTGTGCTCTGCTTCTGCCATTCCTGTTGAAATGATTTATTTATCGTGGGTTAGAGTGAGAAAGGTAAGACTGGCTAAATAATTGAGTGTGGATCGAGTTGCAGTGTGACCACAGCTGTTTCCTATGTAGATAAAGTCAATGTTTGATCGCACTAATGTTTTAAATGTCACTTTTTCAAATATCCACAACAACAGTTATGTTGGAATACATTTTGGTGACTGGCACGAACACGATGCCCTTACTGATCCACGTAGATACACTCGCAGTGTTGATCCCATGGTGAATCCTGATATCCCGGTGAAACCCGAGCGCCTGTCGGGTCTGTCTGATAGAGCTGTGCATGTACCCACACGACGACACTCTACAGGCTCGTTCATCTGTGGAACTTCACCAGAATTAGTTCTTTTACTGAAAGTAATGGAAAATTTTTGGATGTATCAGGAAGAAAAGTTTGAGGAGGAACAAGCAAAGCAGAAACATCCAACTCTCCGACATGATCAGGATGAGGTATGTTTGGTGGAATAATCTAAGAGTATTTCTGATGGAAAGATTTGTGTTTTCTGCGAACCCATGCAGGACGTGAGAGCATTAATGTTCGTTCTAACAGTGTTTTCCTCCAATACTTTCACAGGTATTGAGTGTCTAACAAAAATGTACTGATTCAAAATGTTAGTGAACACAGACCCAGCAAGCATCCTGCAAAAACTAAACGAGGATTGAACACCAGATAAAGTTGTTTTAACAGTGTTCAGATTTAAAAGTCAAATCTTTGGAAGAAGAAAGACACAGATTTAAGATTTTTAGGCATCTGAAGGTGAATATTTCCTAAATGAAACTAATGTGCACTACTGTGAAAAGCATTTGTATCCTTCCTGATTTGTTACTTTTTTGCTTAATTGTATGATTTAAATGTTTCAAATCATCAAACAAATGTTAATATTAGTCACAGTGGTGATTTATTCCGCTGATCAAACCTACCTGTGCCTGTGTGAAAAACAAATGTTCTAATACAAACCCAATGCCACCCCCTCCACAAATGCTTGTCTCACAAAAATACCTGAACATTTTGCCGAAAGAGCTTTTGGTGATCCAGTTATCAATCAATCAATCAATCTTTATTTATAAAGCACTTTTCATACAAAGAAAATGTAGCACAAAGTGCTTTACATAGTTAAAAGCAGCCCACCCCACCCTCCAACTCACTCCCCACACTCTCAATAGGGCTTCGGAGTTGACGTCACGCCGCAATGCATTGTGGGAGCGCAGCTCCATTTTCGGGGTCTACGATCCAAACAAATACACTGTATTGGAACGGCGACTACGACAAGAAACACGCTTAAAAGCAGCTCGAAAGAAAACGGACGGTATAGAGATCGATTGCGTCCAGAGGCGAAGCAGCGGTATTTGAAAAAAATTGAGTGCATCGCAAATCTGGACCCATACGACATACGGCAGTGGAGTAAAGACCCAGACGACTTACCGCCACTGTCCTACCCCGATATCTTCACCTATCTTGTTTGTGGAGTAAGTGCTTACACTGCGAACCAGTTTCGTAATTACAAGTCACTGGAGGCGCATATCCAATTTACAAATGGCTGGGTGCAAGATTTGGCTATTTTCAAGCCGCCAAAATCTGAGTACGTCGTCATTCATACTAAGGTACGTCAGCTGGAGTGCATCGAGTGACATAGCCATTTTCCACCCCCCACCATAATTAATGTTAAATCTTTATCATTGAACTGTTAAAATATCGTTATCATATTATGTGCCCATAATTGTATAGTAGATGCAAATTAACACATTGATAATCGGGCAAATTATAAACGCCAATCAGTGTCATAGGCAGGCTTCCCTACATTTGTGCGAAACAATTAGCGAATCGTTACATAGCACATATGTCTGCAAAGTCACTCCATTCGATGTTTGATCGCAATTTCTATAACTTCCGAGACCATCAACGGTAATATTATTCAGCTATAAAGTGTGATAAGAACATATTTAGAACTTACCGGAATGAAAATGTCGTGAGCACACCAGCTGATATCTGGAGACGTAACAGAACTTGATATCAGCTCGTCTCACGGCTGCTATCCAGGCTAGACGCCTTCGTTTGGTAATATCCGATACATGAGCTCCTTCATGTTGCTTCCAGGTTGGGAAAGCATAAAAAGACAATCCAACCTTATTCCCGTGCCGGTCGTAAGATCGAACATTGCAGCCGAGCACACAGCAAGTACGAACCATGGCTATGCTATCGCTCCTAGCTTAGACCCCCAAAATGGTGAATCGGGCCAAAATCCTTTCCACGCCCACCCCCGTGACATCACGCTCCGAAGCCTCTCAATACACATATATCCCCCCACCCCCACCCACACACACATACACACACGCGCACACTTAAAGAGTAAAAATTGGGCTGGACTCGCATGAGCCAAGTGAGGAAACACTATAACAGGGAGCCGTCTGCACCGGGAGCCGGTCACAGACCGCAGCCTCCAGGCTGGGCACACAGCAGGAGGGAGGCAAAGGAGCCCCCCAGCCAGGCTGAGAGGACCCCAGAGACCCAGCAGCCACGGTCAATCACAGCCCCGGTGCAGAGAGCGCCCTCCGAGGAAACACTGGAGATATGATGCAATACGATATATATAGGGTAAAATGATAAAATAAATAAGAACAGGATACAATATAAATATAAATATAAATAGAGTAAGAAGATTAAAAAATGAATAAGAATAAAATCAAGAAATATTAGGTAAATCCTAAATTAATAATAGAATAACAGGATAGAATAAATAAGCATAAAATAAATAAACGCTAAGTAAAAGCTAAATTAAAAAGGTGGGTCTTGAGCCTGTTCTTAAAAACATGTACGTTCTCTGCGGCCCTGAGCTCCTCCGGCAGGCTGTTCCACAGACGAGGACCATACCACTGAAAAGCTGCCTCTCCGTGAGTATGTGTCCTGACTTTAGGGACAATCAAAAGGCCAGTACCAGAGGACCTCAGGGTCCGCGAGGGTTCGTATGGTAAAAGCAGATCTGAGAGATAAGAAGGCCCAAGACCATTAAGACATTTAAAAACCAATAAAAGAACTTTAAAATCGATCCTGAAACACACGGGGAGCCAGTGCAGCGATTCTAAAACCGGTGTAATGT